CAATACTAATTAGAAATAATAAAACATTTAATAAATTCGTATTATTTTTTTATTATGTACTCGTACAACTTTTTTAAATTATTGATTAAAAAAAATTAACCTAACGATGGCCCCTCGATGAAGTTGGATTACAAAAATGTTGAGGTCATTGGATAGAGCGAAAAAAGTGGCAATGTAAATATGCAATTTATTTTAAAATTCATTTTCATATACAGTGTGATTCAGTCATAATGTCATTAATTTTAACCACGTATTCGGAAAGCTAAATAAAGACAGAAAATCGGAAAAAAAAATTTTTACTCGACTTTTAAAAATGAAGGAAACCAACCTATAACCCCCGCTACGAGGGCGGCCCTGACAGATGCCCGGATGCTCGGAAAATTTAGTAACGTAATATCACGAACAGTTGTCGGCTAAAGCAAACAGCGTTGCCAAGTTCACATCATAATGTGTAGTTCACATTTACTGTTAAACGTATTTAAGTAAATAAAGGAGCATGCTGCATTTTATTATAAATAATTTTAACAATTGTATTAACTTAGTGCAGAATGTTTTAACAAGCCTGACTTCTCGAAGTCAACTTTCGTTAAAACAAAATAAATAAAGTAGAGGTAGTTACCTGTTTGTAGGCACACCGTATTTTATCAAATAAAAAAAGTCGGCACACTACTAAATACCCGAATGTACAAAATGCACTACACACGGTTACAAAACCATTAACAATTTAAAGCGTTTATTCATATCTACCACCGTCCATATCTCCCGCATTTTTCCAACTGCATCTATGATACCCATAGACCTACCATACGGCGCAGCGAACGTGCAGGACATCGACAAAATGACTTAAATGTGATTTTAAATTTAGTCGAGGAGCAGCCTACTATTTCTACAAGAACAATTTCAAGGCGACTGGAGATCCGCACAATATCTGCAAACCAAAGTTTGCGGATATTGCGCGAGAATTCACTTAACCCGTACCATTTTCAAAATGTTCAAGCTTTAGAACCAGCTGATTTTCCCAATCGTCTTGAATTTTGCAGTTGCAGCTAAATCGAAGTGCAGCAGACGCTAACTTTATTTTTATTTTTAAAACAAAGTGCGCTGGACGGATGAACGCTGTTTTACTCGTGCTGATATTTTAAACAGGTAAAAAACATATTACTTTCTCAAAAACAATAAGTACCTACCACCTAGGTTACACCAAAGTTTATATTTACATTAAAGTTTACATTTATTATGAAAACTTTGGTTATATGCAACTGCATCTTGAATAATAAATTGAAATACTAAAACTGTGTATTATTTAACATAATAAATTATAAAACGTTAAATCGTTAATAATATTAAAAATGATAAATTGTAATAACCGTACATTGAAAAACAATCATCCCGATTCATTACATTTTCCTTTGATAAAAGACCGACAACTTTTTGCTCTATGGAATGCGATCCTACTTCAGTTCATATTAGTCTAGCAGCCAGATAGGGTTCCGTTTACTAGCTATAAAAATTAAATCTTTTTACAGCCATTTAAACATTTAATTTGTTGATAACAATTAAACTCACCACTTTCAGGCTTTGCGACTAAGTTTTTTGGATTCAGGAGTACAAAATACTACGAATAAGTTGTTTGCAGCCGTTTCACTCTGTTGGCCACGTTACCGTATCTGGCTGCTAGACTATGCACAAGTACACGTGCAAATTAAAAGTGGGTCAAATAAAAAGGTTATTGACCCTAGTTACAGGTTACTCTAGGTCGGAAACACGTACCGAGTTGTTTATTTGTCCCCGTCCGATTGTTTTTTATTTTCTATTACTTACAGTCAATATTTAAATACTACATACATTTCACCCTCTCTTTACAGTTTATCTAGTGAGTGTTGGTTTTTTATGTCATTATTTCTGTAATGAAATTGATATTAACATATGGCGATCGTTTAATAGGGCCGCATTTTCTACCTGAACATCTGAATGGGCCGCGTTACTTTCAATTTTAGTAGAATTGTTTGAAAAACTTCCCCTTCAGATGTTACTAGATATGTGGTATATGCACGACGGAGATCCGGCCCATTTTGCTCGCGATGTCCATTGATTTTTAGACGATCAATGTCCCAATCGGTGGATAGGGAGATGAGGGCTCATAATCCTATGTACTTTTGTATATGGGGTTATATGAAATCTGTCGTGTATCACACCGAGGTAGAGAATGTAGAGCAATTGCGGAATCGTAGATGCCGCTGAAGAAATACGTAACAAACCTGGTTTATTCCATCGCATCCGCAGCTCATCTATCCAACGTGTACACGTGTGCATAGACGGTAACGGTAAGGGTAATTTATTTGAACATTTGTCCGAAGGCTTACAGCAAATTAGAAAATTAACATTATGTTAATAAAAACTGATTTTTGGCAAGGCATGTTCAGACCTCCTCGAGGTTCTTGCTGGGCAACAATAACAATTAAATGTGTTGATTGCATGATTATAAAAAATAATTTATAGCATTTTAAATTATTATTGGTTGACGTGAGCAAAACCGTTTATTTATTGTCTTTATATGTGCGAAAATATATAAATATGGCAACGTTGCATCTCGGGCGCGTTGTTCATATCGTAGCCGTGCGCAAATTCTGAACAAGCGACTGACGTCAGCCGGTCAGTAACAGCCTGAAAAGGGGGTTACATAATGATTTGAAAATATTTTTTTTCTGCTTATATATGCATTTATTTTTTTTTTAATCACGCCATCGTATTATACCCATTTTTCTCTATCTGCTCTTAAAATTAATGACATTATGACTGAATTACCCTGTAAAGCCAGAAACAAAAATAAAAACGATTTTGCAAAATTTCGGGGTTTTCCGGATATCTCCGAAACTATCCGGAATTTTAAAACTTTCCAAACGGCATATTGTTAGGTTTAAAAAAAACACAACTTTTTTCTAATTTGAGCCACCCCGTATCTCTTACCGTTTCCTAGATCCTAATGCTATCCCATCTTTATTTTGGACACACTGTATATGTATTTTTAAAATACCCTGTAATTATGTCCGCTTTCTTATGTCACTGCGACAATTGCGATATTTTAAGATCTCAACTTGCAATATCTTAAATACTCTTATAAATTACAATCAGAAATGTTTCCCATAAATTATATCACAAAATATGAATAATATTTAGTGAGTATAAAAAATGTAAGGTATACATTTTAAAATCAGTTAGTTGTAAACCCATAAAACCATAAATTCTTGAAGCTATAAACCTGTTGGTTTAGGTTCTGTGGGTTTAGACTTTATTGGTTTAAATTTTATGGGTCTGGGTTTTATGGGTTTAATTTAGTGGCGGCTCATGACATTAAGAATAAGTAAAGCATATTTATTGATTGATTAAAAAGGAAAAAAAGCACTGCAGGCGAAAGTTTTCAAATTTTCAAGGTCAAACGCCTTTAAATGAATCTGGAAATTTTTAGTTGCATTTGCAATATTACCGAAAAACTGACGTTCGCGAGAAGGATTTTCATTTAGATTTTATAAAAAACAGAAACAATTAAACACGGCATACAGAAAAGTTTTTTTAAATAAACACTTCCACTCAACCACTTATACTCCAAATAGCATTCATTCTGAAATTTCCGAACGTACACTTTGTCTTTTAATTTCCCCCTTTTTTCCACATCGAGAGAAGGCATAGGTCACTCGCAATTTAAAAAATCCTTTTTGTCCTCAATTTTCCATCTGAAAAATGACGTTTCCAATAAAATACATACTGAATCATACATAGGAAACATGGTTTCAAGAATTTGTAGTTGAAGGGTTTACAATTATCGGTTTTAAGATTTATACATTACTTTTTTATATTCGCTAATAGTCCAGTCGGCAGAGGCCGCTGTTGGTGACATTTCCTTGATAACTCTGAAATAACTACACAGGAATACTTTAAATGATGAGTACAATAACAGGTTAATTTGCTGATAAAGTATTTTATCAGCGAAAAAAGTTATTAACAATTTAATAGTGAATTTTTTATTTATACTTTTCTTTAAATAGCGGGATGACTTTGTACGAAAAAATGCTTAGGACATGATTTGTTCGTAATAAAAATAGCTACAAAATGGCGGTGGTCCGATTACGAAATTTGCAATAACAAAGTCGTGAGATTGGAAAAACGGTATAAAACGTCAATTTTTTAAAGTTGCTGTAAAAATGTCAATTATAAACAAAAAGTAATAAAACTTTCGAAAACTATAGTTTAATATATATACAATAATGACGCTAAAGCCGAAAATCAGAAGAGCAAAACTTTTTGTTCTATAAGGTTTTATACAAGCTTACCGAAACTTTCGATTCTGGTAGTACTCGATGTGTATGTGATCAACAGTCTCAATGGTCGTTAAGTCCTTCGAAGAGCTGTATCTTGAAAGGCCGAATTTTTGGCCATTGAGACTTTTGATCTATGTATATGTCGAGTACTACCAGAATCCAAAGTTTCAGCAAGTTTGACCGAAAGCCATTTCAAATAAGGATCCAGCGGGGTCCTTTTTTATAAAAATTTAAATAACGTGTTTTATAGTTTATAACTAAAATTTTACTATATGTGTACGGTGACTAAAATGTATGTAATGGACGTTTTAGAAGTACCCAATGGAGAATCATTTTTTTCGACTAAATTTAGTCACTCTTTAGACTAATGATCATGTCTACATACATATACTCCCTATATTCCACACATCTGTGGGAATAAAGATTTAAAACAAATTATTTTCAGTCAATCCATTGCACACCAATAATAAATCTAAGCAATAGGTATATCTAATTTGTTAGGCAATTAATATTTGATTGGTTTAGATATAACACTATTTGTTTACTTGTTAGTAACTATAAAATTGATTAAAAAACCAAAAAAAATCTTGAATTGTTATTTTGAGCTGATTTTATTGGAATTGCATCAAAAGTAAGTTTTAAAACTTTTGTTATAAGTTAGTAATGAATAATGTTGGAAAATACCTAATTGTTACTTGATTTCTCCAAATCTTCAATATGGCCTTGGATCATAAGGAGTTGCTTGAAAACCTACATATCTATTATTTTTCCTGTGTTGGAATCCACTTCCTGGAGCCGTGTTATAATATATAACCCTACGTATTCCAAATGGATCGATGTAACCAAAGCTACCTGATCTCTTATCCCCAGGAAGAGTTTCTTCCTCGTGATATGCCCTTGGGATATAATACCGGAATCCATCATTAGTGACTGAGATGCCGTCATAAGTTGAGTATTGAGGGTCATATTCATTTTTTAGATTTTGACCAAAATATGGTTTACCGTTTTGGTCCAAGGGATATGTTGGTCCATTATGGAATCTGTAGGAATTGTCAATTTGGTTTAAGTATTCCAAAGAATTGTGTTTGACTTCTTTAGATACTTCTTTATTATTATCATACAACTGTGGCTTTAATTCATAAGGGTTTTGTGACGATGAAATATATTTAATAGTAGGTGGTTCTGCAGGCCGAGGAGTGGTTGACTGATAATATGGTGGAAGCTGTGATGTGGATTCTAGAAAAAAAGGTGTTGTCGAGATGTAGTTATCGTTATTTACATTAGTAGTAGAGTTACTTGGTGGTAACAGTAAAGGATGTGTAGATGTTGAGTATACGGATTTTGGCGTGATTGTAACTACAGACGGTTCTGTTGATTGTATTACATTTAGAGATGCTGATAGAAGACTATTTGAAAGTGTGTCCTCATAAGGCCTTTCTGCTTTATTAGTAACAGGTTGTGAGTCGGGTGCATGTGACGTATCAGTATTATAAGGGATGGTTATAACTGGCTGTTGACTAGAATTTACTAAAATACCAGCTGAACCATGATATTTTGCAATAGATTTCATAGCTTGTCCAATAGGAACATTCTTTCCTACAAATATGTTTGTAGTTTTCAAAATCCTATAGCCAGTATTATCGGCCATATAGTCTCTTTTTTGAAGGATACCATTATCATCTATCCAAGCGTAGGTGCCAACTACTGTACCATCTTCTAATCGTTTTTCTTTTCTGTACTGACCACTGTCAGTCTGATATCGAAAATACCGTTCGGGGCCTTCATCGGTTTGGATGTGATATTGACTACTAGAAGGAACATTCCATCCATTCGTTGGTCTTATATTGAACATGGAATACGCCACCTGCAAAATTATTGAGAATTGAAGTATACAAAATATATAAAAGTATTTATATACAAGTATTATAATTACAGTAGTATTACTACAAATTAGACTACTTTCTCTAATCTGAAGTAATTACTAAATACACCTGCCATCATTTTTATAATATTTTATGACATGACCAATTCAAAAGTTAAAAATAAAGAAGAAAATGAATCGAAAGAGTATTGTTTTAACATTAAAACTCGCTTTGCATTTCTTCTAAAATAAATGGCTTCCTAACTAATGCTGTCGTGCAAGGGCAAAATAATGTACTCGCTAATTTGTCAAAAATATGATTTTTATGTTTTCAGAATGTATCTACAAATAAAGTATAAGTACGATTTTAGCATTAATTAAGAGCCGAGTTGTCTGCTAAATAATGCTAATTCACATATTGTCAAGGTAAAAAACGTAGATACTTATAGAACTTGTGAACTATGCGTACATTCGTATATTTTCTATATCTGTTATTTTTAATAAGCAACATTCCTTAAAATTGTTTTACATCAAACTCAAATATTTTCAGTCACATTACGAGTATTTTGTTAATAAAATAAAAGTGTTTAATGTACGGTTATACGGACTGGTTGCCATGTTGCTGTTTTAGGCTTCTCAATGTTTTATGAGCCACATAGGGCCTTTCTTCAGAAGAAACTCTGAAACTATTCAGAGTTTGTCTGAATGAGAGAGCCACTTGGCTATCGCAATGTCACTGCACATGGCAACCAGTCCAAAAATTGTTCCATTACCAACCGTCTAAGAAACAAGATATTATAAATAATTTTCTGTTAATTAATTTTATTTTCAAGATTAAGATTTTTCTTAAATGAGAGACAGTGGTAAGCAAGTTTTCAGGTTGTGTCAGTCCTTAAACGAAAATTATTTAGTTTTCACGAGATACAAATCAGCTGCAAGAGAGTTTTCAACTTTATATGAATCGGCGCATGCCCATTATGTTTTTGATAAAATGACTGTGGCATAATGGCCCTCCTTTCTCTCTCATCTCGTTGACTGTTATGATTAACAGATAAAAATGACATCGACACCTTTCAGTTAAATGTGCCGCAGTTACAAACCATGTCTCGTATTCTAAACAAAAATGTAGATCAATCGTTGTCAGACGACGATATAGCACTGTTTTCTGGCAGTGTCTGGCCAAGGAAACCTATATTGCAAATATTTAAAGAATGTCAAAGATATATAACACATGACCAAAATTTAATATAGAAGAAATAGTCCTAATAGTCGTTTTCAATATTCATCATTCAATTATTGTGTTTTATCTTTTGTGGTGACAACTAATTTGAAGTTATTTTGTAGCAGTCATCGGTTGAATGTAGTAGTGAGAAAAAGAATAAATTAAAAATTCGGAGCCTGTTCTCTGTAGACTTAACATTGCACTCGAATGACTACTATTGAGTGGTCATATGATCTTCTGAGTACCTAATATATTTTAGAACATTTATTATAAAATAAACTTAAATTCTTTGTATAAATACAATTTGACAATTTTTTTTTAAGTAAATTTTCCACATATTACACATGTTCTGTATCGTGGTTGTCACCGTAAAATATAAAGTACAATAATAATTGAATGATGAATATTGAAAATGAATATTAAACTTTAGGCCTATTTCTTCTACATTGAACCTGCGTGCATAAATCTTTCATGATTGGACCTGAACGCCTTTGTTCGTCAATTCAATAATTTCGGTTACTTGTTATTTATTTTAATCTAATTCTGACATTCTTCAAATATTTGTAATTTATGTTTTCTCCACCAGGCACGCCATGTCCTATGACGCTAGCACCACGGAGACTACGAAGAGGAGGAGAGCGAACTATACAGGTGATTTACTTTTTATGTTGCAGGACCTAATAAAGTAAAAAGAAGAGCCATGAGGACGGCCCACCCACTGGATAAGTAGTCCCTAAATCAGCTGAACATGAGGGTGAAAGCTGACCTGGACGAGCACCACCAGTCCTCGTGACAGCGACATCTAGAGTCACTAAACCCCGAGAACCACAGCCTATAGACGGAGCAAAGGGCACTGTGGTCCACCCGGAAATCGACGCCTCCGATTCATGTAGATAATGAAATCGTCTACATAAGGTACGAAAAGGTCGAGGCATTCCCCGACAGCTTCGAAGTACAGTGTAGGTAAAACCTTCTCGACGACGAGGACCACGCTGACGAAGTGGAACGACGTGTAGCCGAGAGGGACGACATCAGGCCAGCGACGTCCGAGGAATTGAGAGGTATCTTGCGACATCTCAACCCCTCAAGACATCCGGATGTGATCAGGTCGGAATCCAGATACTCAGAAAGCTACCCCACAAGGGAACGATAGCGCTGCTTAACATCGACAAAACCATGAAACTACGAAGATTCTCCGACAGATGGAAAAAAAACCGATGCCATCTTCTTCCCAAAACCAGGTAAGGATCTAACCTTTGCTTCCAGCTATAGGCCCAACAGTCTCCTGCCGATGATGAGCAAGGTAGCAGATAGCATGATCTTGCGAGTTGCGAGTCATCCCCGCCAAGGCCTTCAACAGGGTCGATGGACTTTTTATAAAGATGCTTGACTTTTGCTACCCTATCGGACTGGTCAATCTGGTGGAGTCATTCCTTAAAGTAGGCCAGCTCGTCCTGCAAGGTGCCGTACTATCAAATGTTCAAGATCTTTACATTCGATAGGCCCAGGATAGAGCATATAACCGTGCACCTCTACGTGGATAATACCGTTATCGCTGCCCTTCATCTGAACCCCGAGATAGCGATGAACTACCTCCAGCCGACTAGAGGACTGGTGCAACAGATGGAAGGTGGCGATCAATTCGGAGACAAAGCACAGTTATTATGTTTTCGCGCAGGTACCGAACGTGTCTTCAGGGGCATGTGAGGCTCAATGGGGAAGACATCCAGTGGGCGATCACCGTCAAATATTTAGGAGTAATTCTGGATCGCACGCTGACTCAGAAGCCGCACGTCGATGCCGTGGTGCGTAAATATCAATAACAATATGATATCAAATCACGATGTATGTTGATTTAGAAATTTTGAAGGAAATAAGATATCATTTTTGCTTACGTGGCGATTTTAACTTACATTGATTTTAAATTAATAGTGACGAAATTCTTCTAAATGTAATTTTATGAAAATTATGAAATAGCTGTGAGTATCACATCTGTTAAACGAATGGAGGAAATGAAATGTCCCCGTAATAATAATCTCATATAAAGAATAAAAAAAGCTAAAAAAATATTAAAATTTATATCTTGAACAGTGGTAGCGAGATCAGAGAATGACATGTTACATACTTTACGTTGAAAATATACTACCATCATTTGTTCCTTTTAACAAACACAGAAGCACTAAAATGGTTAGATTTATACATTGCCAGAACTTCGACGAAAAGGTTATGTAAGTATACTGATACCACAGTCTAGATAGACTAGATCTATCTAGGCTGTGCTGATACCGTACATAAAAACGCAGCACTTCCAGTACAGAGTTTTTTGTAGTAACAATAGTTCATCCGCTAATTTACTTAAAAGATGTATAAATTACGGTGATATATTTAGAAATCCATAATTACCTGCGTTTATAAAAGGACAGTTGTTTTTTATTTCTTACGTATACATAAATCTAGTAAGGCTAATTTTCATTAAAACAGCTTTATGAATTCTAGAAAGATAAACATTAAAACATACATGCATAATTACAATCATCTGATGAATTTTCTCGTGGTAGAGGAATGTACTTATTTTTTGAAATTTCCTTGTATTGAATATTTATTTGCAAATAAACTAAAAAGTTATAAAGGTGTTATAGTTTTAAACGGGACACTGTACTTTGTATATTTATAATCTGTGTGTGACACGCAATAACGAAACTATAATAGTTTACGAACAGAATTCCTGAAAGCAACTCGATACGTGAAATATAACAAAAAAATAAAAATCTAGACTACTAAGGCATATCGAAAATATTTTCGAATAAATCAATTTGAATTTGAAACAAGATGAACTATAATAATCTATATCAACTGTTAGTTTTAAATTTTGTTGTGCATATATCTTAATTATACAACATTGGCACGATTAATACATAATAATATGTCAAATTGCTATAATTAAAGTGTAACCATGCATGTACATTTTGAATGTGACAGATGACGAGCTAATCATTTTCTGAGGCAGAACATAGTTATTTTACAACATATATAAATAATTCAGCAAACTTGTTTTGATCGTGACTCTGTCATAACCATTTTTGCTTAACCACCGGATTTACCATATATGTTCACAGTAATTTAGAAATGTATCCCACACCTGTTGCCCACGTGCATTCTGTGCCAATGTAACGTTTCTGATAGTTGATAAAAGTATAATTAGTACTTGATATCTCACAAATAAAGTCTCACCTAACTTGAAAACGTTTGCGTATTTGTTTTCGCCATGAAATAAACCTATATCGTTGCATTTAATTTTTTAGTAAACGGAGACAATTACAAAACTTTTCTCATTAGCGTCGTCTACCGTTGCGCAGGAAAATAATATTTTCATTTCTATATCATAAAAATAAATTTTATTAATAGTTCTTTAAAATGAGCCATCGTTTATTGAAATCAATTAAGGCATTTAGAAGTTATGACAATTTAAAAATTTCAAGAATAAGAAAAAAAAGTTCAAACAAAACTTGTGAATGGTTTAACAGTGTATCTAAAAAATGTATTTTCAACTTAGGTCATATAAGCGAAATTTCGAAAAACCGGTATTTTTCTGTAACACCATAGCAGTTGCGCCCTCTAGCGGTGAAGTTACAAACTTGAAAATATTTTAAATCAATTTCTTTTGGTCGTATTTGTTAATAGATTTTTTATTCCATAATTGTAGCACGTCTAGTTTCAGATATACAGCCGCTTGATACCGTTAATGGATCACCCTGTATATATAAAATATAATGACGCTGCT